AAAAAAAAAAAAAAAAGTATAAATCTCCCTTTTGGGACACAAGCAGTCTAGGCCACAGTGATTTGAAGTCCTTTTGGGTTTTTTTGCAAGTGCTCTAAACTTGCTGCTTAACACTGAAAGGGTTTCTGTGATGCAACAGATAAGCCCAAAGCTGCAGCAAGCGAAGACCTGAAGAATTTAGATGGCAAAATGGCTGCCCCTGTTCTCTGGGAGAAAGCAAAAGAAAGGAAGATCATTTGAGGCAACTCTGCCAAAATCAGTATATTCTATTGCCAATCTCTGCTCAGGACTAGGAAGCAAGGACTGGGAGATAGTCCATGTATCTTTCAGACAGTAAATGCACAAAATAATTAAGAAAGAAAAAAAAAACCTGAAACCCACATCTCCCTTAGGTGGCCATTGCTAGGAGCCCTTCCATGCCCTGCGCTAAGAGAAGTTGCAGGTGCAGCCCGCAGTGCCTGGAGCTGTGTGTGAGCCCTGAGCCCACTGCCAGGACAGGCAGGCATGGTAGGACAGCACTGCCTAGAAAACTGCACAGCTCACAGCCCTTCCAGAGCTCAGGGCAGAGCACAGAGCAGCCCAGGAGCATCCAGCTGATAGATCAATAAAAGACACAGCACAAAACAGCCCTGAAAATCCTGTCCATTTCCCTTCTGTGGCTTCATTGCAGTGGCTGGTCACTGGCAAAGTGATGTTTTCCACCTCAGACAGACGCTGCTGCTGAAGTTTTATTTAAAGCTAAAGATGCAGAGACATTTGGGTGAGACTAACCCAGAGCCCTGGCATGAAACTGAGTGAGACAAAGTGAGTGTGAGCAAGATAAATAGAGTGAGGCAAAAGTGAAACAGAAAAATGAAAAAAATCTCAAAAAACCTAAAAATAGCCCAAATCTCCCTGGAAAACTCCCAAAAGACAAACAAACAAACAAAATGAAAAAAAAAAAAAAAATAGAAATAAAACCAACAGCAAGACTTTTTTAGCTGTGCTCCGGAGTAGCGACAAAACATTAAATGGTGCACTGCCCAGGCAATCTGCTTCTACAAAACACCAGGGGAAATAACATAGGCCAAAGCTCAGATACAAAAATAAAAAAAGATTCTCAGGTCCTCCTTCACTGATTTTTGAACATGGACTGATGTCTGGTTTATTGTAAAATGTGTGAAATACATGTTTTTGCAGCTGTCTGGAACAGGTGGTATTTTTACTCTAAAAGTGTCTTTTTGTTTGTTTGGTTGGTTGGTTGGTTTTCTAATTGGAGTGTATATTTTACCAAACTGGAAAATTTTGCATTTTTCTCTTTTTGTTCCCTAATAAAGAAAAAAAATAAAAGGAACCCAAACTCTATTTTAAAGTAAGATATTACTATAAGCCAAAAATAAAACAAAAAAGCAAAATTCTAAATTGCCATAAACAAAAATATGTGAGTGGAAAACCTCTGTCTTCTCTTGTCATTTCAGATGGCTTCAATGCAAACTCTAGTGAAAGTGTATTTTTTACTGAAATTTTTGTTGCTTATGCCTCCCAGATAGCTTTCTATTACCTCTAGTGAGAGGCTATTCTGTAGCCGCATTGATCTCACTGTTTTCTATTAGGCTATTCATCTTAAGATTCTTTCCAAATATCTTTTTTCAAGATAAAACCCCATTTCTTGTAGTTATGTCTCCTACAATCATGCTAACCAGCTCCTCTTCCACCTGCACAGATTATTGTTGTTTCCCTCTTTTAGTCATCACTTAGATTGTTTAGGACTTGCTTACATTATGGAAATTTGCACTAGTATAATTGCATGAAAACAGTGCTCCAGCACAAGCTTTAATATGAGTGAATAAAGAGAGAAAAAAAATCAGCACAGCTTAATTTTGGAAAGTCTGTTCAGGTACTGGAAAAACATCACCTCAGCCAATATTTTTTTTCTGTTCTTTGGATTACTTTTGGTTTTCATTTCCACTGACACCTGTGATTAAATTAAGC